TAGTAGTAGTAGTAGTAGTAGTAGTAGTAGTAGTAGTAGTAGTAGTAATAGTAGTAGTAGTAGTAGTAGCAGTAGTCGTAATAGTAGTAGTAGTAGTAGTAGTAGCAGTAGTCGTAATAGTCGCACTAGTAGTAGTAGTAATAGTAGTAGTAGTAGTTATAGTATCAGTAGTAGTAGTAGTATCATTAGTAGTAGTAGTATTATCAGTAGTAGTAGTATCAGTAGCAGTAGTAGTAGTATAGTAGTACTAGTAGTAGAAGTAGCAGTAGTAGTAGTATAGTAGTACTAGTAGTAGTAGTAGTATCAGTAGTAGTAGTAGTATCAGTAGTAGTAGTAGTAGTAGTAGTTATTTATTTGTGGTAATTTTTGTTGTGTTGTTATTTGTAACAAAATTAAACGTCATTTATGTTTTTTTAACTCAACGTTTTTCTTACATGCAGTTTTACATGTTGTCTTTATTTCTGAGTCTCGCTTATAACAAGATATTTTAACTAATAATGAATGACATTCATTGTGATATGTAAATTAAAATATAAATTTATTGAACTTCTTCAGTGGGATGCATAAAAACAGTCCTCTGTTGAAAAAGTAGATTGTAAAGAAGACAAGTGGCAGCTGAGTTTGGCCAGTCAGCCTTTGAGAGACAGCCAAGTCCTGCGTCTGCCAGCAGATAGTGGAGTTGAGCTGGGTCGACATTCCTGGGGAGACCTTGTAAAACTCAGAGGAGAAATCAAAGGTTGGAGCCGAGCAGAGCTGGATCAGCAGTCTGCAGGAGAGCAGCTCACAATAAAGACAATTAAAAAATTGACTTCTACGTATTATGTTCCGTTGTTTTTCATTTTAAAAACAATCTTTTCATTTTTCACGTTGCATAATTTGCTGATTGTAAAATGATTTTTTACACATTCGGCCTCTATGCCTCAGTCCTGAAACAGTAGAGGGTGCAATAGCTTCAGAAATAACCTTGACATTTGTTTTGAGCAGCATCTCAAAAACCCAGCCACCTGTCCTTGACTTGTTGTTGTGCTTGAACAGGGTTGGACCTCGGGAGTCAAGTGGCCTTTGGGTTCTCTCACTGGACGAGTCCTTTCCAGTCAAGCGGCCACGATCTCCCCAGTCCAGACTGTGTCCACTCTGAGGCCTCGGCTGTCCCGCCCGTCGGCGAGCACGCAGAGCCTGTTTCCTGCCCTGCATCACTGTCCGTCACCCCCCTGCCCACCTGCAGTGCCAGCCAGGAAACCCTGTGCGACAGCAGCACAAGTATGTAAAATGTTTGAACTAGAAAGTCTCAAGGTGCAACCAGCTGCTGAAAATGGTAAAAACTCTGTGATCAGACAGACTTACTGATTCTGATCAGTTCTTGTAGGCTCATAGCTCCTGGTTTGTTAGTCAGGATCTGACTGCACAGCTGAAAACATCTGTGCTCTCTGCTCCTGCCATTTAGTTGCTTTATTTTAGTGACATAAACCCAGAAATGCACACTCACTTCCTAGATACTCTTGTATAAGACAGATGTTTAGCTTCTGATTAGAGTTTCTGCTGGTTTGGTCTTATGGTGGTTTTTCAAGTGATATTAGCTTATATCTAACAAGGTTAAGTCAGGTCCTCTGGGTGGATTCTTCTTGTTGAAATGGTTCATCTTTTATCAAAAGGCTTCTTCAGTCTGAGGAGCTGCAACAAACTCAGTCTTATAAATAGCACCAACTCATAGTGGATCAACCAGGTTGTTGTGGACATCCAGAACTAGCTGTCCACATGATAAACGAGAACCATCAGCCTAACGACCTATCGTTAGTGCCCTGATGGCCGCTTTACTATTCACAGAGGACTGAGTGATACTAGCAGTAACAGCATTGTAAGGTTGGACCTGGAGGCCTCCACCCCTGTTTAACGACGGACAAGTTCTCTTCACAAGGATGCTTCCTTCTTTCGCTCCTCTCTCAAACCAATGTTCCTATCTATCAAGGATGTGCACATCACATGTGCACATGTGGATGTGCACATGTGATGTGCACCACTAGACCGAGGAACAGCTTCTACCCTGAAGTTGTTAGATTCAATCAATCAATCAATTCAACTTTATTGTCCATAACATTCAATGAAATGGAGATTTGTCTTTGACATATGGCTTATAAAAACAAAATAAAAAATGTGATTAAAAAACTTTAAAACTTTAAAACCAAGGCTAAATCAATTAAAAACATGCAGTTAAAACCATTGTAAAATACACGATACATTAAAATATGGAAACATCTCAGCAGACAGTGGTTTGTTATGTGAGGCTGCGTTTAAATAGAACCTTGTTAAGTACATTCACTGCAGAGGGAACAAATTACTTTTTGTATCCATTTTTCTTTGCTAAAGGAACCAGCAGTCGTCTACCAGATGGTACCAACCTGAATAATGGTTGCAGAAGATGAGTTAGATCATTGTAAACCTGTATTGCCTTTTTTTCCAGAACCTGACTGTACAGGTCTGTAAGTGTCATTTGTTGATGACCAATGACTTTACTACCTTGTTTGACCACCCGGGGCAACTTGTTCCTGTCTCTGGCTAGGAGGTTCCCATACCATGAAACAATATTAAATGAAACACTTTAAACCAGTGACCTGTACACAAACTGCAAAGTAATTTTGCGTGCATTTAAGCTCCTAAGCTTATACAGAAGGGGGAGACGCTGTCTGTCTTTTTTGTAAATCTAGTCAGTGTTGGGCTCAAAGGTCAACTTGTTGTCAATTATTGTTCCAAGGTATTTAAAATCAGTCACCTGCTCTACTTCCTGCCCTTTTATAATAGAAGGCCTAAATGTAGGTCTGGTGCTGGCTGCTCCCCATCTACCTCCCAAACAAAGTTCCTTGGTTTTACTGACATTAAGGGCCAGAAAACTGTCATCAAACCAGGTAGAGAGCTGATCTGGGAGTAGGAGGGACTGTTGGTGTCTTTCAGACCAGCAACAAGGGGAGTGTCATCAGCATACTTAATTAATTTAAATCTTTACTGTTGTGTTGCAACTCATTTGTGTATATAGAGAATAAAAGAGGCGATAGCACGCAACCCACAGTCACCTCTTTTATTCATGAATCCCTAATCAGGATTATCACTGTTAAACATGTCACTGTAATGCCACTGGACTGGTAATGGATGGTAAATGGAATGCATTTATATAGCGCCTTTCTATCTTATCGAGACACTCAAAGTTCTTTAAACTACAATCTGTGCCTCATTTACCCATTCATACATCACTCTACTATAACTCTACAAAGCTAATTGAGCAAATCATTCTAAAGAGACTAATCAGAGCTTTATCACATTCATACACTGATGGAACACACATCGGAGGCAATGAGGGGTTCAGTGTCTTGCCTAGGGACACATGTAATTGCTGGTGGATTCGAACCCCCAACTCTTGCATTGGAGGATGACTGTTCTAACCACTCAGACACAGCTGTTATGTCCATATGTGCTGCTGACTATCCATGTTGCTGATCTCATGCTGCTGATTTATTTCATGCTGCTATATTCATTCGTACTCATCTGCTCACACAGACTCATGTTTGTGCTGCTGTAGTTAGGCGTATTGTTTTTGCACCATTAAGTATTTATTGCATTTCTTAGTTCATAACTTACCGGTAGATCTTATTACAGTTTTTCTTTTACACTTTATACCGTTGTTGGATGTAACTGGGACCCTGTGTACACAGTTTCGTCCCACCACTTGTACCACATGCGATGCAAATGACAATAAAGAACCTTGACCTTGGCCTTGATCTTCATCCCTGAAAGAGTGACCACTGGCCTGCAGACGAGTATAGATCACAGGGTCCTGGCCTGATGCTGTTGCTCTTCTGTGCTGGGCCATCCTTTTGGCCAGTGGCTGTTTAGTTTCCCCGTTGTAAGACTGATCATAGCCCTCCTGTTTGTCATGTGAACAGCTAGTTTTGACTGTGACCAACAAACTGGTTGATCCACTATGAGAAAGTGTTATTCCTTATACATGCTCATATTTTGCCGTGGACATTTAAAAATACTTATTTTCGTTCTCAGAATACTGTGGTATTGTATATTTTTGTAATTTCAGTCATACGTAGTAGTCATACGCAGGTTAAAGATGACTGGCTTTGGCAAGAACTTTTGGTTGATTTTTTTTTTTTTTTTTTTTATTCCAATGCACCATTGTAGTCCCAAGTACTCTTAAGGGGCTATCACTGTTGTAGAATATGATGGGTAATTGTTTGTTTGTTTGTTTGTTTTTTCACATTTGGACCATGCAAGTGTTCAACAAAAATTTTAACAAACAAACCAGTCAAGGAACCACCTGAGCCCATGGTCGATGATTAACAAAGACTGATGATGTCACGGCAGGGACTGGGCACTGCAAGGAGTGTGGCACTCAGTGCACTCTTCCTCTCTTTCCACGTCTAAAACAAATATTGGATCGCCCACTCCATTGTAGATGAACAGATGCTGGGATATATTCATCATTTAACGCGGGTTCCTCATTTTTCTGGACTGAATAAAACGTGCATTGAATTTAAGGAAAGGCAAACGTGAGACGTCATTTAAATTTGACCCATCAAAATGAATGCGGTCATTTATTTACAGAATCAAATTTAACATCAAACATTTACATTAATTTGGCAAATTATGAAAATAACAATATAAGCAATCAATCAGGAAAAATCATACGGCCATGATTTTTCGTTGCTGCACCACAAACATTTATAAAACTGTACAACTATGATCTTTTACCCACACGGATGTGAATAAGCACTTTACACAGACATTTCTAAATATCTGGGAGAATTTCTACTTGATAGAAAGTTAAAGATGAAAGAAGTTAAAGGGAGTAAGATTGAATGGGAAGGGAGGAATGTTCACCAGAACCGACACTCTCCATCAGAAGCCCAGCTCTCCTTCGGTACGCTTGGTAGGAAACTTGATCCATTACCTCTCTGAAGATTTATCAGCAGATATGGAATTCCGTTAACGCTACCTGTCCAGCGTCTCCTGATGGTGGCTGTAGCTCGTCAGAAGTAGTGGCTAGTGAAAGTTATAATCCCATGGAACTCGGAAGAGCTTTTTGTCATGTCAAGATCATCCCGTCTCCGACAGAACTCGAACAGAACCAGCAGAAAGCTCTCCAGCACTCTCGAACTCTCCAAAAACTCTAGAAGTCTGACAACTCTCCAACTCCGTGTAGACCAGGAAGTACTGACATTTTAAAGACTCTTTCCCGGTTCACTTTTTGGGATTTGTTCATTGGTCAGAATCGACCAGAAGGGGTGTGTTTTTGTGACGTAAGAGGTTAGAGACAGCGAGAATTGTTATGAGACAGGTCAGAAATGTTCTCACAGACCGAGAGGGTTTTGTTTTGGCGTGTTTAAGAAACAGGTGGAAAAACATCTATATTTATGTCTGAGAGGATTCTAAAACATGACAGTTTAACATAACAACTTGTTTTTCGTTTGACTGTAACCTTGGAAACGCACACACTTGCTCATTCAAAGGCAGAAATCAGAAAATGCCTAAACTCTGCAACAGCTTTTAACATGAGAATAAAAATCATTACTCAGTTAATAAAATTGATTAGTTCACTGCAACATCTAAAATGGTTTGAACTAAGACACTTTGATTATCAACATTTGTGGTAGTAATGATAATAAAAAAGAGAGTGTTCTTTTCACTTGAATCTTCAAGAAAGAAAGTCTCAGGATGGGTGAACCTGTATTTATGTATTCAAATACATGAAATGACAGTTCCTGTCCCACAAGGTTCTAAAGGTCAAGAGTTTTGACCTTAGACTTGGTTTCGACGTAGGCCTAGTCCACTACACCATTGTCTAAGTCCAAACTCTGTTTCGGACTCTATTTTCCTTTTTCATCTTTACCTCTTCTGTCTGAGAAGGTTCTGACTCCTCACCGTCCATCTCTCCCCCTCCTCAAAAAGAAGATGCAGCTTCACCTTCAAAAATGGTCTTGTTTTATTGACTCAAACACAATAAGCCAATAACAATAAACTAAACAGTAAACACATTACACTACACCATAACTATAAAATCCCAACACACTAAATATCACAAAACTCATGCCCCTATTACTCACTTTCGTTGTCGCTGTGTATTTTTTGCTGCCGAACTTCCTTCAACTTTGGCAGCTTTTTCTTCTTCTTCCTGTAGATTTATTTACACTTCAGAACTAACTTCTGGGCTCAGTCATAAAGGAGGTGGGTGGTGTTTTTTCTGTTAGGCATGGGTGGGGATG